TGGGCCACAGAGCCAATAGGTGTGAATTTGTAGGCCTACTGGACAAGTTGTATTTCTGCTCATCACATCAAGATCAGCTACTTCCACCAAAACAAAGGACAGAATAGCCATAAATCATCCTTCTCTCCTCCAAAAGCCAAGATTTTCAAAGAGCACAAAGTTTCCCTCCCCACTGCTTACATCTCTCATTTGCCAACACCTCTCTGGATAAAGTGATGCCAGCTCCTAGCTAGTCTGAATTATATAGGCAGATCTTCGGACAGGAATTTTAATCTCCACCATATCTTCTTCCAACAACCACAGGTAAATATCCTACAATGCTGCATATCAGACATTTTCAGAACATCGTACCTATATCACTACTAGTACACAAGTTACTCTGAAGCGGTACAGAAACACTGCCTTGAACAGCTGAACACCTCTGCTGCTGCCACTGCCATCAATCGCAATATGTCTGTCTTAAATCTCATGTAACAAGCAGAAAGTGAACTAGTGACTCCGTTATTTTCTTTGCAGCTAGAATCTTTTGTTGTTCCACTCTTCTAATGCCAACACTGGATTTCTCCTCCATTGGTTAGGGCAAAAAAATCCAATGCACCTACAAAATCTGCTACTTGTTTTCAGTCTGATTAGCTCTTTGCTGTCTTTCCATTTCTTTCTTATAAAGCTACAGAGATCTTTTCTGCCCTATAATCCTTACGACTTGACTTGTGAAGAAGGCTCTTTCCAGTCCCCTAAAACAAGCCACCAAACCACTCATGCATCAGAGCTAAGTGACGATGTTCATTTTCACCCTCAAATACCAAAAGACTTGGAAGCCTTTCAGCTTCCAAATATAATGCTTCTCTCTACCACATCACCACAGCTACAGCAAGCAAAGGTGCTAACTGGCTTGCCCATCTTCCCTTATTAATGGAAGGCTACTGCTGACAAAAGGCTTTTGATAAAGATTTATTTCCTCTGGAATGCCTCAACCATCAAACCCAGCCCCCACCTACTCATCTACCAGGCATACTGCAAAGTAATACAAATGGCTAACGTGGTAGAGCTTGGAAGGCATGCCTAACAGCTGCTAGGACTAGAAATTTGAAAAGCGGTATAGATCACAGGGTCGGTGATCAAACAATATATAGGAAGATTTAGTTTTGCTTTGGACAATTTTACATTTGCACTTTTGAGTAACTGTTCAGCTGTTGTATTCTTATACGCAGCTCAAGAGGACTTAAAGCTTAGATACACTTTTTTGATATACCATATGTTTGAACCATCAGGAAAACAAACACTGGTAGACTGTATAATTACTGTTAAATGCTGACAGTTAAAGATTTTTAGCTTACCTGGGTTTGTACTTACAATCCCAGAACATTAACTTTTTCAATGATGAACACAGTTTAATCAGAATTCTTAGTATCAGCTTTGATGACCACACCTTCCTCAGCCAACAAAAGCAGAATATTTTATTTTGTGCCCTCAGGCATGTATCAACTAAAAAAACAGATCCTTGTAAGAGCAACAAAAATGTCTTCCTTTTACCATCTCTCAACCAAATTTTCCAACTGATATGCAGCAAAATCCCCCAGCCATGTAGCTTCTAATGATGTAGACTATCTTTCTAAGCACTTGACCAAACACTTAATCACCCTGTCCCAGAACAATAAAATACAGCTCTCGCATAAGGCTTTTCAGCACTGATAAACACTTCACAAAGTTGCCATTATCCATTACTGCTAACCCCAGAGACACGATACCCCATTCTGCTTTACCCAAAGGGGTAATGGCAGAGCTAAAAATAGAATCAGTTGCCTCAGCCCCAGGTGAGTATAATTCTACCATGCCATAGTGCCTGATATTTCTTTGAGAATAACCCAAGTCCAAATAGACATTCAACAGTCACTTCTAGTTTGATAAAGAAAACCTAAAACCCTCTATACGGTCGTAACACAGACAACTACCACAGCTTGTGTGTGCTGTGCTTCAAGAAACCCAAAGAGGTCTTCAGAGCACTTATTGAGGGTGTGCCTGTCCTCTACAGCAGCAGGGCACTTCACAGACTAATTAGCTCATGTGGAGCTCCCTCGCTATATTGCTTCTGAGCAAGCTCATTTATCTTCATATTACATTATGCAGTGTAGATAGACCCTCAGACAAATCAATTTCTCTAGGTAAGGGATACAGGCTTGACGAGGCAAAAGCAGTGTAAAAGACATTATTACGAATAAATGCTCTCACAGTACAATCACTTATATTTCCAGTTGACTCCCAAGTTTGAATTCTTCATATATCAGAATGGATTTTAAAGTAGGAAAAAATGCATTGTTCTGCTCATGTCAGAAAGAGAAATATATCAATAACAGCTTAGGTGAAATTTGATGAGAGACACCATAGAATCATAGAATGCTTTGGGTTGGAAGGGACCTTCAGAGGTGATCTAGTCAAACCCCCAGACGTGAGGTTTCCTCCCCTAGCACGAGGAACGTGATTTGCTGTTCTTCAGAAGAAACTTTAACAATAGTCCGAATGACATGGTTTAACCCCAGTTGGCAACCAAGCACCACACAGCCACTCGCTCACCTTCCCCCCCCACCCCGCCCCCAGGTGGGACAGGGGAGAGAATCAGAAGGGCAAAAGTAAGACAACTTGTGGGTTAAGAATATATTAATGTTTGAAATAAAACAATAATAATAGTTTTTAAATGTAATTAAAAGAAAAACAACAAAAAGAGAGAAAGAAACAAAACCCCAGAAAAACAAGTGATGCAATTGCTCACCATCTGCCAAACAATGCCCAGCCCGGCCCCAAGCAGCAATTGCTGCCCTCGGGCCAACTCCCCCAGTTTATATACTGGGCATGACATCATATGGTCTGGAATATCCCTTGGCCAGTTTGGGTCAGCTGTCCTGGCTATGCTCCCTCCCAGCTGCTGCTTCTTCAGAGCAGGGGAAGCTGAAAAGTCCTTGACTTAGTATAAGCACTGTTTAGCAACAACTAAAACATCAGTGTGTTATCACATTGTTCTCATGCTAAATCCAAAACACAGCACTATGCCAGCTACTAGGAGGAATTAACTCTATACCAGCTGAAACAGAGAAGCATTAAATCCCAAAAATATGTTTGCATTTGAAACTGTCTCAAATTTGGCAATAAATTTGCCACACACTTTGTCTACATTGGGTGTGTTTAAAGGGTGTTTCTCTCATACCTTCCTAGAGCCTGACTGAGAACTCTCAATTCCCAATTCTTGATTCACACTGTCTGTAAAAATCACTAACAAGGTATGCATTTTTACATTCCTCCAACACCAGTTTTTTACAGAAGAAATAGAGGTTCAAGCTTACTTTGACAGTGATTTATACAATTACTTACACAAGCCTCACATGACAGAAAGTTTCCATTTTTCAGCTGGTATAAAACACACACACACACACCACCCCAGAAGAATACTACCGTAAAAAGTTGAACTCTAATGGTCAAGAAACTGAAGTACCGCTCTCGCTCCTGCACACAAATACTGTATGATATTGCCTTCAACTAACCAATCATACCTTATTTTTTTTCCAGAGGATCTTTTCCTTGTTCTAAGGATAGGACAGACAGTGCTAACACTGAATGAGCACTCATTCAATACTTCATTTCATCCCCACTGTTCACTATGTGGCATCTTTGTATAATTTACAGCACCTAAATCTAGACTCATAACTAGAAAACTTCTCATGTCTCTGCTGATCACTGTTTTGTACCTCAATTATTTCCTTATAATAACTAATTACTCCACAGCACCTCCATCAGACAATTTTATGATACTTGTTTTCAGGTGGCAAAATGGGAGACAGTGACGTGCATTGGGATTGTCCATAATTAGAGATGCTGGACTTGAGATGCTTTGGTCTCTCTTCAGAGGACAGAGCAATTAAACAGCACTTCGTCAGTACAAAGTACAACTTCAATCTATTTCAGTGCTATCATGTGTTTTCAAAGCTGACATTAATCGGTCCCAAGAGTCTGAACTCAGAAAATGAGAAGTACACAACTAATGGCCATATTTAAAAAAATGTGGTTGAAGTGACTCATGCAACCTCATGCAGGAGCTCTATGGCTGAATTAAGATTTGGCTCTAACCCTCCAGAACAGCAACTCAGCAGCCCAAGCTTTAAAACCAATCTCTTTTAGTGTTATTCTCTCCCTTGCTCACCTACTAGGTCTCACCCACCTTCAGTAGTTACAAGGAAGCAGATCTAAAGGAAATAACCTCATTAATTAGTATACCTGGATTAATTTCCTAAATGCTGTCTACCTGGTCATCCTGCAAATAGCACGTGTTTTGTGGATAAAGAAAGAGTCTGAAGTTACATCAGCAAATGCTATTTTAAGGCAGAAATATAACATGACCAAATTGAGTTTGCACAAACAATTTCAATTCTGGCATCTCCTATCTGTTGAGACTTTGCATTGCATCACTGTCAGAGAATTCCAGGTTCCCAGAATTTTCATTTCATGCAGTCGCAAATAACAGCATAAGATTTAAATTAATTTTTATGTCTCCATCATCACTTGCTACATTTGCAGCCTCAAGCTTGAGGAACTCCTATTACAGGGCCTCTTACTACTAAACACAATCCAAACCATCACTGCAAGGGCAATTCTTTGGCACAAAGCTAATGGTCTATGAGGTAACCAGTACACAGCATGCGAACAGTATGCAGTTAGGAATTACAGTGCAGCAACAAGCAGAAATGTCCTAACACCATTTTCTGTCAGAAACTTTTCTATCATCTCAGAAAACTCGAGCTTCTTTCAGTTTGAACAACACCAGCAGATAACACTATTTCCCTTGTTCGACACCAGCATAATACTCAAGCTTTGATTCTAAAAGTTTTTACAAACCACAACAGCATCACACTGCAGTCAGCGTTTTCCCACAAGAGCTCATCAGAAATAAATATTTGTTTGAACTTCTGTTTAAAAAAAGCATTCAAGAAAAAAAAAAAAAAATCAAAACTCACCTCATTTCCACCAACAGCTTTGGTTAAAATCACTGCAGAAGACACAGGAGGTGGCATGCAGCCTACTGTCTGCAAGCTGAAAACAACAAAAAGAAACATTACATTCCCCACACGATGCAAACACCATGCAACCTAAAACCTTAAATACCAAATAGCTGAGTAGAAACAATCATATTCTAAAAGTTTTTACAAACCACAACAGCATCACACTGCAGTCAGCGTTTTCCCACAAGAGCTCATCAGAAATAAATATTTGTTTGAACTTCTGTTTAAAAAAAGCATTCAAGAAAAAAAAAAAAAAAATCAAAACTCACCTCATTTCCACCAACAGCTTTGGTTAAAATCACTGCAGAAGACACAGGAGGTGGCATGCAGCCTACTGTCTGCAAGCTGAAAACAACAAAAAGAAACATTACATTCCCCACACGATGCAAACACCATGCAACCTAAAACCTTAAATACCAAATAGCTGAGTAGAAACAATCATCTTATCACCTGCGCAACCCAGGCTGCTTGAGTTACAGTTACAGCCCCGCACCAGCTGGCAGGATTTCTATGCCATCTCTTACCAACCACCACAGTGAAGAGTCACACCACCATTTAAAAACCCACTTAACCTCTCTGTGACTCCATTTCCTCACCTGTAGTACTGTATCTAGCATTCACAAAGATATCTACACATCTGTCACAAAGATAACTCTATCATGTGTCCTGGTGCAGTAAAGTTTGTAGCATGTTTTGAGGTACCTGTAGCTATTTGGAAAAAAAAAAAAAAAAAAAGAAAATGAGGTTGTAAACCCCTGTTTTCTTGAAAAAGCTGTTCAGTGATAGGAGAGCAAGAACCACCATGCTCACTATTTCAGGTTCCCACTATACTTTGTAATTATTTTTATTTAGTAGGCATTGATGAAAAACAATTAAGCTTTTTATTGCCTGAACATTAAAAGCTTATCAATGTTTAATTTTCATGCATGTTTTCATTTCTTGGTAAAATCACTTGACTCCCATTAATCAACATAGCAAAATCTTTCTCCTGCATTTTAGAAGTCTAAAACACACTATTACCTGTCATTTTTTCCATTGTTTGTGCAGCAAGATTATCAATGTATATAGAAAATGCTGTTGCAAATTAAGAAAAGAAATGGTGACCCTTCTTTTGTTTTCAAAGACAGTCCACAGGAAGTGGTTACTACAAAAATTAGTTGTATCAAATCCATAATTAGAAACAAGAAGAACATACCACAATAGATTACAATTAAATTTGGGACTAAGTAAAATAGGCCTACTGAAGACAAACTATGTTGCCTTAGAAGGAACAGTAAGGCATGAAATGAAACCCCAAAAGCATGGAATCTACATATGTTTGCAAGCCCTGGAGTTTGAGACAGTATTCTAGTTCAGATCAATTAGTAGCACTGAACGGCTTTGCACTTGTAACTGTGTTAGTCCATCCCCGAGAAACACAGAGTCAAAAAGCTATAGCAAACAGAAGTAGGAAATCCAAACAATAGGGAGCATATTATAGCACAATCGATATGCTGCAAACATACAAAAAGCTTAAATAGAAGAAACAGGTAAATGACAATGACGGTATTCAGCTTGTCAGCTACAGATGCGCTGGGAAAGGAAAGAGACAACCAATGTAAGCGTTACATAAATGCAATCACAAAGTGCTAAGCACCACCTTGGAAGTACACTGTAGCTTTAGCTTACAGTGAAGTAAGCTATGAAGCAGGGAGTTGTCAGCACTTAGGATAATCTCATATTGAAAAGAAAAGAAATACAGGAAAAAGAAGTAGTGTGTAAAGTTTGGAAATGTGTGTGAAAATATACAGCAGACAAACAGATGGCAATTCTGATGTCCACCCCCTACATCGGTTGTGATACTGTTATCTCTCCTCTACATGGTCTCTTGGCAGTCAGCTCCTTGAACTTCTCACCGGCACTAATAAGGGGTGGGTTAAGTTGAAAGTTATCCAGAGAGGTATGAAATGTGTGCAAGGGCATTTTCTCAATTGCCAGGGATTTTCCACACTATAAGAGCAAGATTTAATAACACAATCTCTGTGAAGCCTCTCAAATTTAAAATAATACATTTGGAATTTAAAGAAAGAAAATAAAACCATAGCTTGATAGTGATTTTTAAATATTCCTCGTATGAAAATATCAATCTACAAAAAAGCCTGGTACACACTAAATGGAAATACTTTTAATCAGGTGTATTGAAACATGCACTTGTCAACTTTTTTTTTTCTTGCTTTGTATCAACTACATGTAACACTACCAATATACAAACAAATTCCTCTAATGGCCAGCAGATTATAGATAACAACCACCTGAAACATTCCCCTGGTTGAGGCCATGCCACAAGCACTAACATCAGGGGTCCAAAAACTTGCTGAAGGGCAATAAATAATACCTGTTCTGCTAATACATTACAGACAACCAAGCAGTAGGGTCTGAAGTGACATGTTTTAGATATGGAACTACCAAAGCCGTATCTTGTACCAGATCTTTGCATCTCATGCCTTACCACCTGTGCTGTAAATGCTATACACTAAGAGTGGCAGGAGAGGTGAATCTGCGGAAACATGGGTAAGTTGCTTCATGCTCCTTTTCAAAGAGATCCTATCAATGCAAAACCTAGGCAGCTAACAAAAAATTAACTTAAAAGATGCTTTTGGATGATGTCAGTTTCTGCTCTATTTTATATACTTGAAAATAATTGCAAAACAGCAAACCTAATATCATCCCAGACAGAGAGGGGAAAAAAAGACCCCAACTGTAGAAACACAGATGAAAAGCTGGTACCACCTGAATCTGCCTCCCAAATAACATTTACAGCAAAACACACCATTACAGAGGATGGGATAATCTACCATTCATTCTGAAGCAAAAAATTAACTGTGGGCTTGATCGTGCCCTTTAGGCATAACCCTGTGCAGAGAGTAGTAGAGAACCGCAGTCCCCAGGGGAGCCACCCTGCCAAGGGTACCGCGTGCCCTTGGGAGCATATGCCTATTTTTCCAGGCTTTTGCAAGGACTATCAACTGGCTTCCGCCACAAGCTGCGATAAACACGCACTATGAAGAAGGAACTTTGCCAAAGCTTGTCTTGTTCCCCTCTCCCGCTGTTTTCGTAAGGGTACTTCAGTGTTTTTAGGGAATAAAAACTACAGTTGTGGGGCATTAGGATGAACATCTCATTACACAGAGCAGCCAGGGCACAGGCAGTTCCTCACATCTGCTTCTCACTCTCCTTTCATGTACCCATACAGGGGCATGCAAGTACTTGCTTTAAAATGTGTTATCCTAGAATTAGGACAGAGCTCTGTACCTTCTGCACCTGCATAGCACCAAAGGTACAGCTCCCATCAGGCTCCCTTTGCAGGAGATGCCTTCAGAGCCACACAACAGCTGCTGCTGCTCTGAGCGTGCATGAGCATGGTTGGATTTGATGATCTTAAAGGTCTTTTCCACCCTAAACAATTCTATGATTCTATGTCCCAAACAGTGGTATTTATCAAGAAAGCACTCTTAAAAAAAAAAAAAAACAAAACACCCAAAAGACCCTTCATTAAACTCCTCAATCTGACCATTCGTTGAATGAAGTGACGGTACACCACAGTTACTGCACTAAAAGATAAAACACAGCCAAAACAGAAATAGTACTCAAGGAACAAGTGCTTGCAAGTCAGCTTGAACCATATACAATTATACTAGCTCACTGGTAAAACAGAGACACACCTGCATGAAAAATGAGGCTAGTTTGGGCTCCACTTTTGGGGAAATACACATAAAAGTGTTTCTTTTTAAAAAAAAAAATAAAATACATACATATGTAGTTTTATATGCAGTTTCACAGGTGTGTATGTGCATACATACATACACATATACTTGTGCATGTAACAGATCATGTCCCTTAAATACTAAGAACCAAAGTGGCATAAGAGTCATAGGAAAGAAGGGTTGAGAAGTGGGGCAAGGAACAAAACCAACAAAAATCCCTTGCACTTCAGAAACTGAGACTCCTACGGATTAGGAAGCAATTTTTGCTCACTGTGGAAAATCATGTCTCTGTTCTAGCTAAGAAAAAAACTTCACAATGGCTTTACTTTAAAGAATAACCTTTACTGTGAGTATCCAAATGCAAATGGACATTGTATAGCAACCTTGTTACTTCCTTGATGTACTAATACTGTTAAACAAAACAGTGCTAACTTTTACATGATGTCATCTCAATTTCACCTTCTCCATGTCATTTGGACCACTTCACACTTGGTGGAACACCTGGGGAAGCCTCTTAAAAACAAAACAAAATGCTCTTTTAGGTTTAGGCTTTGTAAAAACATGAACACGAGCAGCTTTATCATTAAACTTTTAGGACAAGGAACTCTCCCCAATCAATGTTTCACCAAGCAGTAAGAAACAATGAGGATTTTTTAAGTAGTTTTCTAAAATAATTTATTTTTGCATTCAAACATTCTAGTATAGCTGCATGCTGCTAGGTATTGACCTTTGATTCTGAAAAAAGCTTTTTATTTTTTTGATTTTTCATAACATCTATCACTAGTGCACCATCAGTGCAGCTTTAGAAGCACACATTGGCAAAGTACACCGAAGATTTAAAACGTGTTGTTTTCATGGTAATTTAGCTTCTGCTTATCTCAACGTTCTCCTCCTACAAAACTTTACAAAACTTTACTCTCCTTTTTTTTTTTCTTTCCTACACACATAGTTTAGTTAGGAGCTGATATGATACTGAACCCCAATCTGGACACATGCAAGAGATGATCAATACAGACTGTTTAAAAACAGGAAGGAACACTAGTTCGTGGCATACACAGTATTTATTCACTGACTTATGTTTTTCCTTCAGCACTCCTTTTCTTTCCTCCTCATCCTCCTTGAGACCCAGCACAGCACTTTAGCTGTGTTTTGTGAAAGAGAAAGCTAACCTGTTGCAAGCTCCCTAACTGACCAGACTTTCTAAAAATGAGACCAGGTTCCTGAAAGGATAATCTAGTGCATGTACTGTGTTTTCGACAGCAAAGTGCTGAAGCACAAAAACAACCACCAAAATCTGTTCACAATACAAGTCTTGAAACACCCATTGCCCTTTAAGAAGACAGCTACAAATGTATTTCACCCCATTATGCTTAAACATACCCTTTTAAAAGCCATTCATTTATAGGTGTGATTGATAATAGCTGAAGAAAGAGCCATATTGCTGTTGGGAAGAACACAAGTGTAAAAATCTGGACAAAAAGGTGTAGTTTCACATGCATCAAAGCACTTGTCAGCTCCTGCAAAAGAAAAAGAAGAGAGGAAGTTGCAGTCATAACAGCTGAAGTAAGATCATGTTTGTGCTTTTAAAACTAGGATCATCTTTATAACACAAAGAGAGTGCATGTCAAAAAGGCACCTTTAGGGATCATCTGATCTCCTCTTTAATAATGAAGTACATCCAGACAACATAAAAGCTCTGTCTGCTCCTGGGCATTTTTCCAAAAGAATTGTCCACCACTTCAATAATGGCGTAGCTCTCGGAACGGCAGCGTTCCAGCAGGCAGCCTTAGCACTTTGTCACCGCTTCAAAACCTGTGTTAACTATGCTGACGGCCTGTTTACTTTATTGACTGCTGATATCAAGAAGGGAAACCACCTGTTGTGTCCACTTGATTTCAGGTTTATCTAGTCTAAAGAGAGCCATAAACCGTGACGCTCATTTATACCGTGACAAAGGGATGTTTACATTACAGTCATTATTTGTGGTGGTTTTTTTTAAGGAAAGACTAACAAACATAAAAAGCAAAGTAATCCGTAGCAGATGTTGATTATTTATTGTATCAACAGATAGGAAATGTATAGAAAAAAATTAGGCTGATGAAGAATAGCAAAGAAAGTATATCAAGACCACAATAAGCTAACAACAGCTAAGCCATAAAATTCAGAAAAATACAGTGCAAAACACCAATGGAGATTGAGAAAACAAAAAAAAAAAAATTGCATTTTAAATAGTGTACATCACCAGAGAGGTGATCAAGTATCCTTACACAATAAATTCTTCAGTGTGTGTCTGTTTCTGTCTTTTCAGGCACTCCAAAGACCTTCTACAGAGGGTTTGAGTACAAGGAAAAAGCCTGGTGCCTTTCAGCTCATTTCAGCTCTTACAGATTTAGAAATTCCTTTTCCTCTCTCAAAATAACTTGCACTCTTTTCAAGCAAACAATGCAACAGGAAAAGAACTGATGGCACTTTTATTCAAAACCTAATTTGCTAGGATTCTCCAGCTATCTGACACCCCAGATGCATTAAAAAAAAAAAAAAAAAAAAAAAAAGAAGAATATAAAACAGTGTATTTCCATGTACAGTAATGTAGCAGCCCATCTTCAAATGCCACCCTCTCTCAGCTTCAAAACAGTTGGAACTTTTATGAAACACAATCAAATATTGCATTTTCAACCATCCAAATGCACACTGATGTAATATACATCTGGAAGTACTAGCAATTCAGTACCATGTCCTTGTTACTTTCTTCTTGTAATAAAATTATCTCCAAAATTTGGGTTAGGGAGAGAAACCTTCCACAACAAAATACACTTCCGTTCATATTCTATCCTTAAAGTTATACGTACATCTTGATCCAGTTTTACCAAGAAAGTATAATTATATTCAGTGCTTGGTTAACTGAATGAAACAACTTTTTTTTTTTAAATAAAGCAAGCTCTAAAGCAGGCTAGAATCACTCTGCATAAAAAAAAAAATAGGCCCTCTTCACATAACCTGTCACAGTACCTATGGCCTTATGAATAGCTTCACTGTAGTACTATTTCATCCCATCTCAAAAATAAAGCAAAAATAAAACATCTAGTAGTAGAAACACATCCTGCGTGGGAAGAAAAGACACCTGGAAATATATACATAAAATTGTATGTTTAAAAAGTCAATAATACAATTGAGAAAAAACAAAGCAAGTGACTTCTTCCAGCAAAGCTGCCAATTCCTCCTTCTTTCCCGCCAAGTCACCTCCAGTCCCAGATTTCCCAGTGGACCAGTCTCTGAAGGGACCATTACACATACGGAAGTGCCCTTTTAATTTAATATTTTTACTTTTGGAAAGGACCTTAAAAACAGATGATTTCAGAAAACTGTGTGATATTTTCAAAAGCAAAATCCAAGATAAAAAGTTGGGAAAGACTGGTTAGAGCTTCCAGGGCACAAGGAAGGCGATTACAACACAGCCAACCTAGTGCCTGAAGGAATGCTGTATTAGTGGAACAGGTCTTTGCAGATCTAAATTACCAGCCTTCAAAATGTCCCTACTGATTGCCTTTTAGAACAGTTACTCGTTAGACTGTACCATCATAGAACAAACACTGAGGCAAACAGCCTTCACCCTTTTAAGCAATCTACAAGGCCTTGTCCCAAAATACATCCATCACTGGATCCCTCAAAAAGGCAGAAGTCTCAGAAAAGTTACTGGAAGCCGCTAGTTATGGCTCTGTTTCTGCACACCAGGTAGAACAGGTTGCCTTGTCTTTCCCAGTACTTCAAACCCTTCAGAGAGCTTATCCTAGCCTCTCGCTGGTCGATGTGGGTCCCTGTTGCCATCCAGCTGTGCTCAGATGGTCATAGCTGGACTCCTCTGGGCAAATACCCACACAGAGCAAACAGTGTTTTCAGTGGCTTGCCAAATTCCTCATTGAAATGGATAACTCAAGTATGTGATTTAATTTCTGGGGCCCTATAGGAGGTATTTGCTTTAAAAGAGCAAGCTATCCAGTCACTGAAAACTGAAAGAGCATTATATTAAGGTGGAATCAAATGTTCTTGTCATTCCTGGACACAGACTACTTCTACAAATGTAAGAGGAACTCAGTAACCTCTAGATCTGAAAACATAACAAGGCCATGCGCTGACAGGCTCGCCCTGAATGCTGCCAATTATTTTGTAAAATGCTTTCTGTTAGCAAATTATTGAGCATGTGCTTTCACAGCAGATAAAACCAGAAGTGTAACCTTAAAAGAGCATCAGCTACTTCTAATTTTGTCAGAGTTATCAGAAGGACTCCATTAACACTGACACAACTTTTTATCGTTTCATAAAGCATACCAAACGCTAGTTTCCATCCAGCTAATATATTATCCAAGGTAGAACAGCTGACACACAGGTCAAGAACTAATAAAGATAAAAGCAGAAACGATTTACTTTGCAATTCCAATAAAAAGATATATTAACTGACTAATAATACCATCTCTAGGTTGTGCCTTAAACAATTAAAACATGCCCAAAAGTATTTTAATGGAATAATGACCTGGCCTTCTAGCACATTTAAGGATTGTTTTTAACATAAATTTTAGAAAGTAATAGCACAACGTACAATGAGTGAAGTGGTTTTCTTCCTCTTTGTCTTCTACCCCCATGGCAGAAATTCAGAAAAGGCTTAGCTTCTTGATGGAACATAAAGCTGGATGTACAGCTCCAGTCCTAACTGATGTTTCCAAAACAATCCAAGATCAGCTACCTGGATGTAAACATCAGCTCCTGTAAAAGCTGCATTTACATCAGTATGTTCCTTTTAGAACCACAGATGAAAAATGTACGCAATTTCAAAACAGGACATGCCACATTGCCCAGAAACCTGTCAGTCACATCACCTTAACTGGAAAAAGTTAGATGTACACTAGCATTGAGAAACTAATCAAGACTTTGATAACACTACTGATTTCACTCTCACTCACAGATGATTTACAAATATAAAGCTTCAATGATACAAACGAGTGAAAGGGAAAGAAGTTTTACATTTTTTCTCTGCATGCAAAGACTCCTCAGCCTAAAAGCAGAAAACTCAACTCCATTAGTACTACTCAGGCGTTGTGTGTCAGTCCTCGTCTCTGTGGAAGAAAGTGCCTCTCCGCAGCCTATTTCCATTAGGATTAATTACTGTCCCAGGCAAATAGATAACACAGTTCTTCTTGCTTCCCCATAAGACCACAAGGTTCTAAATAGCTGCTACAGAATTGACTGAAGTTACTCACTTCACTTATACTGTGTTCCAGCAGAACTAGAGGCCCTAGTGCCAAAACTGCCAACAGACACAGGAGGAGAGGGCTACCATGAATCCAAACACCACCTCCATGTGAAACTTTATCAGTATAACCATGATACAGGTATAGAAACTTTTTTTTTGAATGCACACTGTTCATCCAAATCCCAGTTTGCCCAGAAGATGTCTGGACAATATCCTGATGATTCTTTTAGGCATATAGTATCGTGCAACATATGAATAACACCACCTGTTAGCAGAGCCAGCCGTGCAAAAGGAATCAAGAAACCAGACTAGCAGAGCAGTGCAACGTTCTACTTCAACACTGGCTGCTCCTTCTCTTCGTGGCACATAGCCATCATTTCCTTTCTCCGTGCCTCCTTTACACATCACTAAGAGGTTCTTCCCTTCATCTTTTCTTACTCCCAGATTGTTCCTCTTTGAAAAAATGTGTGGCACAAAATTTGAAACAGTGTCTGTGATACGCAGCAGAGCGCAGGCATTTCAAGTCCACCTGTCTGCAACTAAATCCTATAGAAAAAGATTGCCAAGACTTTGTACCTGTTTATTGGCCTTGCATGTGCAAAGGAACCCTTTTGCGTTGACACTAGCTGCTGTCCTGCACCGACCCAGTGGTAACTTAAAGCCACCAGATCTTTGCTTGCATGGATCCTGTAATGACTAGCCTAAACAGTTTCACTTAGAGAGCACACCAGCAGGTGAGATGGAGAGAGACACAGAGAGCTCACACCTTCTCTTTGTGTCCCACAGAGGCATGGAGACTCCACATAGACTCCACATAGCCCCTCTCTGCCTAGTTCCCTACAAAGTTCTACCCTAGGATTCGCACAGTTTTCTGGCCTGTATCTCAGCTGAGCAGTGGGGAAGCCAAGGTGCAGAAGGGGTGGCCGAAGACAGGTGCTAGTGTGCTCCTGGGTCTCCCCCTACTTGGGGTTTGGGACACATCCAGGTTGTAGCTCCAGTCTCAAAATTGTGCTCACCACTTCCATTTAGTCAAAGCCCTGCAAGTCAAGCAACCCACCCTCTACGGACAGGTGAAATTTATTCACGCTCTCCTTCCCATCACGTTCTCTACTTTGCAAAGAATTTTCTGAAATCAAGGAGGGGTTATTCCATAAATGTCTGATATTTATCTTCTCTTGCTAGCTATTCTCCCAGCATCAACAACAGCAGCACCGTAATTAAATATTCCAATGACATTCAAATCTGATCAAAAGCAACGCAAAACTTTTTAAAGCAAAAAAAGAACGAAGCAATGAGAAGTTACAGTACCTCAGTTTTTAAGGAGAGTCCACTGTTAAAGAATATAGCTGAAACAGCAATGTAAGTTATGGTAATTTCTGGTTTCAAAGGTCCTAAAAAATACAGACATAGAGAACAAAGTGAACTATAGTCAAACAGATAATGATATGCATATATTACATTAAAGTAAATGAGAATACTTAGAAAAATACCCAGAGAAAATCTAATCATTAAAGTCTCTAATAAAAATAATGGGATTTCTATTAAAAGTTACTGAAAGCATGCTATTCATTTTTAAATAAAAGCAAAGCACTGAGTGGAGAGTGAGGTATGATGTCATACAAATTTGGCTTCTGTGATTACAGGCCACTGGGAACTAACAGGTAAATTCTAGAAATGTGAAAACGGGGAATTTTTCAGGGCTTTCCTCTGTCATCAGAGCATCCTTATAGCATCAGCCAACTCAAACCCCACACTCAAATAAAAATATTAGCTGCTCCCTCCACAGGGCCATCGATATCATTCATATATCTGTCTCTCAATTCTTCCCCTATAACACATACACCTGTCTGGCTGCCTGCACAAACCAAATCGTACTTTGCAATGATATCCTTGGGCAATACAATTCTGCATTACTCCCCCACAACAGGGCTGTGGCAAAACGATTCATTGCAGCCCTACAATAACACATTTCAGACACACTGCTGCAGCGAGATCAGCAAGAGCAGATGTCTGCACCTCCAAGGGTTCCACTATATTAAAGACTTGCATTTGTATATGTTTATATACTTTTTTTCAGGGAGATTAAAATAAAATACTTTTTACACACCTATAAAAATGATGAATTCTCTTAATACACTTTGCCTTCAGAGGCCACCAAGCGCAAAATATACATACTTTTTTTTTTTTTTTTTTTTTTTTTAACAGGCATTCAACCAGTTATAATATTAGAAAGAAAATATTAGCAGTCTACTTAGGACCAAAGTAATATCCTAACTCTGCAAGTGACAGTAAGTTGTCATAAGCAAAACTGCAGCAGCAAACAAGCAAGCCTTTACTCCACACTCCAGAAGAGAAGATCCTTTCTGCTCTCTCGGATGAATGATACATTGATGGTCACACTGGAGGAAGGTCAATGATCCTTAAATTAGAGGAAGTTGATCATACACTGAATCTACTCAAATTTGCATCGCAAGTCATTTAAACCCAAATCCTACTCTCAGAGAGGACTCTGTTGACGAGACATTAAAACTGTGTGTGTTAAATACAAAAATAAACCAAACAATCCATATGAAGCATAAGGTAAAAATAAGCCAGGAAATGCAAGAGTTAAAGTTGCAACAAAGCACGTGGCTGGTTGCAAAATTATGACACGTTAACAGAATAGGAAGAGTGGGGGGGGGGGGGAATAAACAGAAAAATTATATAAATATATATATATAGTTTTACAGAAAACTGTATTTGAGAGAGAGAATTATATAATTTTTCTAATCTTTTAGATGATTAGAGCATAGAAGTACATGCACGTACACACTGGGCAGACAGGCAGCAGGTGAGTTAGTCTGGCTAAGACAGGGGTCCTTCCAGGACTCTGTTTTTCTGGCTTAGGGTTTTTTTGACTGGGCTACCTGAACTCCTTTACACAGGAGAAACCTCTACCGCTAGAGCAACCACATGTTCATGGAGCACAGGGGACTCTGGCCAGAACAGATCCCCTTCATCTCTTGTGCAAAAGACTGCTCAGGAAAGCTCTTTTCACAAAGGAACTAAATAGGCTCATTCATCAAATAGGAAAACACACAAAAAGGGCTTGGCTTATGCCCTGAAGGTGGCAACAGCACAAATCTTTGTTATTTGTGGCACAATGTTCCACTGGTATTGATGCTGGACCATCCATATCATTCAGTAAGGCCCTGCAAATCACAGTGCATGGTTTTATCAGCTGCAAGATGACAAACTAAGGCTTTTGCATATGCTGACACTTCCCACCCCCCATATCTTTTTTTTTATTTTTTTTTTTTCTGGTTTTCAAACGAGCACTGAGACTGTGTAGCTTCAGAAGAAGAACACCGCTTTGGGGAACACGTGCTCACAAGTTTCAATAAATGCTTACAAGATTTTTTAAGAAAGTTGCCCAGGAACAACACCATGTCAACGCCTGACATCTCTTTGCAGTAAGATAATTAAATGAGGTGCTCCATCATAGTGCTTCCACGCAGGAAGTAAACTGAGGAAAAATTATCTTGTATTCTAGTTAAAAGGATCTCCCACGTTGCTGCTAACAATTAGCACGACAGTCAAACCAGAAAGGGACAAACCACCTGATACTATCAATTTAAAGTTGTCTTTAAGGTCTGCTGAAGACACAGCATGGATCCTGCAAGAAGCTCCATGTGGGTCCTATTCTCCTATGCAAAACAGCACACAAATGTTAG